GCCAATGATATTACGTAAAATGATGACGAAAATTTTGTGTGGAAACTTTGAAAAAAGTTTTCTCGAATGCGAAAAAATGGCTTCAAGAAAGGTCTTCCGCTATTTGCTCTACGCAAATTTTTTCATGTTTATATTATTAATAAGTCATCATACGGTTTTTCTCTTTCAATTTGGAATTAATTTGCACTTGAAAGTTTTTCAACAAGCTGAAATTGCACTGGCCAAAGCGGCTCGTGCAATTTCAACTTTTTGAAAAACTCACTTGTGCAAATTAATTCCAAATTGAACTCGAAACCGTATGATTACCTATACTTGCGATAAACATCCACATGCGACCTGAATGAGTTAAAAATGGTGTCATCAAAGAAAATTAATGCATTTATTTTGTCACACGAACATCAGTGATGTGATTGGAGTTCATCAACTATGTTAAAAGAAATGAAATTATTTTGCTTAAAAAAAGCCTGGAATAAAGGCTTGGAGTAAGCTTACTTCAAATTACACATTGAAGATGTCAAATTAAGCAGAGATGTAACATTGAATTGTTACATACAATGTGAGACATATTCTGCCCAGAATTCCTGTCACTACAGTAATGGCAGGGACTCTAGAAGAATCTCTGTCCCACAGGGTATGTACTGTACCAACAATCTTAATCGGTATAAAGTAAGAAATACCAGCCCTCCCTTCAAATCAATGATGAACTGGCACTAAACCCAAAGTGTGCCATTTTTCCTATCGTTGAAATGGGGGGAGGGGTGGTCTTAATTTTTCATTTAAATTGTCCAAGATTGTCACTCTTGTATATGGCTCTTGCAAAAAAAAATAACCTAGGTATTTTATACAGGCTGCAAAAGAGCCTTAATTGAAATTGGAGTAAATTAAAGCTTCCTCACTTCGACAAGTCTCAAGAGGCACCACTGGCTATGGAGGCATCTCTGGAGTTGAACTAAACAGTTGAGCAATTCTATTAATCATCATGCAAGTCAAGACAGCTTAAGGTGATTCCTCACACTTGCATTGCGCATCCTTACTGCGCATAATTTATGGCATCATTAGGATGCAGTCGTGCATGTGCACTTTGAAAACATGGCAGGTTTGCCTTGATATTGAGTTCTAATAGTTGAAAAATGGTTATAGCTTACTAGCAAGCTCGGGCACCCCAAATTTTTTCCAGTCATTTTAATCACCTAATCATTAGCTTTGCGTGAGAAAAGACTGATCTGATTTCTATTGTTGAAAATTGAACAAAATAATTAATAAGGACAAGAGCAGCTGCACTGTAGTCTTTTCTGTTTTGCAGTTTGATAGCCATGGCAAGCAATTTGGTTCCAATATTTTAACACAGATTCAGCTGTCTGTCAAAATCAAACTTAAAGAGTTTATTTGTGTCCAACACAAGTATTGACTGTAGTTTGAGGCGTGTTTTCATGAGTCTGGGCTCACAAAGAGTTTACAACAACTTGGAACATGTTCTTGTAATAAGCATTGTGCGTATCAATGAGATGGTGTACTTTGAATTCAATTTTTACCAAATTTAGAATGACTTTTACTATGTACATTTATTCAAGATAACAATTTTTAAACTGAAATAATCATCTCATATGGACAAAATTCTTCAATATTTTATAAAATATATACACTGCTGTTCTTAATTAAGTATATTATATAACTCAGTCTTGACTTGAACCCATAAATAAACTCCAATATAACACTTGAAAGTAGTACGGGAACCACAAACTACGTAATGTAAAACAAAATCTAAAGGAAATTATGATATCGTGGCAATGACAACAATTGCATGATCACGTAGGTACCTGTAGAATCGAAGCAGTCTACGTTCAACAATTTTTTTTTTAACAATGACTTGGTTATTATGGCTGGCATACTGTGGGATGCCAACATGTACAGTACAGACACTGCCCTGTGCTAGACCAATCCCAATTTTTAAATAAATGGTTTTTTATCTTATTCATTTAGAGAGGATAGTTAACCACATCAGCTGAATGCAGTGTTTATGTGGAATCCTCTGTAGAAATCTATCACTTTGGAATCTGGTTACAAAACTCACCTTTGTGTGACTTTATAGACAGCAGTTCAGGTCACAATGGAAAAGAGCGAGGAAAAAAATAAAATTTCTGACATACTTATTATGAGGAATTTATAAGACAGTGCATCATTTATGAGCAGTTTTGTAGCATCAGATTTTTACCCATTGAATCCTTTTCATGAGTTAAAACTGGTGCCTCCCTTAAGGGGCTCAGTAGTTGTTTGAGATGCAGCCTTGCATGAAGAGGTATATTTAAGTGTGCAAGCTGCATCAGTACATATATACAGGGTTCATACAGGTCCTGGAAAACCTGGAAAGTCCTGGAATTTTATTGTGGCATTTTCCAGGAATGGAAAGTCCTGGAAAAGGGCTACTGGTCCTGGAAAGTTCTGGAAATCTGTTAAACTCAAGTAGAAAAATACGAAATTTATGGCAGACAGTAAGGAGAATTAACATTAAGATCTTGGGAGTGAAAGGGTTAATGTGAATTTTAGAGTCCTGGAAAAATCAATCTGAGTCCTCGAAAAGTCCTGGAAATTTGTTTTTGAAAAAGAGTACGAACCCTGTATATAGTTCTACAGAAATCAAATACATTCAGCCATGAAAACTCTGAACTGGGTACTGACCAATAATTTGATAAAGATACAAAACATAGAGCAGTTTTCAACTGAGTGCAGTTAAAACAAAGCCAAAGCAAATAATGCATGTACTGTAACTGATCTGGCCAACACAAAGGATACAAAAAATTGAATGTGCAGATCAAAACACAAAGTAAATTTATGTTAAACAGAGCAAGACACAGGTGAAAACACTTGTGCAAGGCCCAACTGGTTATAGTTTTACCTCTGACTCACTGGGTCAGAAAATGGTACATATTTTTAATTATACAAAACCAAAGCAATTCAAGCATATTAAATTGCTTTTGACACTCAGCGAAAACTGCTTTATCTCAGATGAGTTACATCTCTTGTATGCAATTTTGTTGTCAATCTCAGTCTGTCCTTCTCGTGGGAATGAACTGAGCTCACACAGCAAGATTTGTGTTTACTTTAACTTATATATTATCTATAATATTATTAATACTTGTTGCCACTGTTAGCAGCAATAATTATGTACAGAGAGCGTGGGCAAAGGTGGTGACTGAGTGGCTGGCATTATACATTTCACAAGCCACAGCTATCAACTTTAACATGAAAATAATGAATAGCAAACAAAAGATTAAGTTGACTGCAAGCTATTGGACACTTTCCACACTATGTACAGTCTTGCTTTATACAACTAACTTCTGTCAACACTTCATTTCATTTCTTGTTTATACATATTGTTACCAGACTGCAGTCACCTCGTTCCAAACAAATAACTGACATTTTCCAGCAAAAGAAGAGTGAATGAGTTGATCTGGGACATGGCTTCAAGAGAAGCAGCCTGGGACTTAGACCACACCAGGTTTGGGCCAAACACAATAGCCAGATTCTTTGATGTCATTTTATTTACAGCAGAATGTTCCAGTACCTGCCAAGAAAGTAAAAGTGGTATAAATCAAGATTAGAGGCTAAAAGACTATTTCCCTAGTAGTTCATTGTCAAGCTCATCGAAAGACAACAACAGTGACTATTTTCTCTTGCCCTTAAACTATAGGCTAAACAGTGACATTAACAACAAATCCCCTCAAGACATTATGGTCAGTTACTGGAAGATCAGACAAGTTAGATATTCCAAGTACAAAGACAGTCCTGTCTAGAGTCCCAGGGTTAGTATTTTCCCCTGGGGGGACTCCCATATGAAAAGGTCGGGGATGTTTATTGGAAAATTTGAATTAAACCCCTAAAGGAGAACAATCTGGGCATGACTCAAGCTTTATTTTACTCTTAAAAGACATCACTTAAAATGGAATAGGCTAAATTGTCAGCAGCCCATGCTAGTAGACCAGACTCCAGAGACCAGCGAAAATCGAGCAGCTAAAAGATACTTTGGCAGCTAAAAGTAGTGGTGTTTCATCATGAACACCCTAAATGAGGCCAGAATCCTTGATTTATACCCTGCAACAAGATGACAAGCATCCCCAACCTTTTCATATCCAAAGGGAGTCCCCTCCCCCTCAATCCAGGGAATGTTCCTGTCAGGCTCAGGGCTTGAAAAAAACCCCATCCGGTCGTCCGGGACAAGTAGATTTTCCCTTCAGGCAAGTAACTTTCTCTCCTTACTTGCCCCACAGGCAAGGACCCAGGCAAGCCGTTCGCCAACTAAATTTTTGATAACGATTTTGAGAAGAAAACGTAAATTTTAGGCCCAAGGGTAATCAATGCAAGTGTTGAGATGAAGATTGACGAAAATTACAATTTATAGTGTTGTTTTGTTGATTGTGTGACGTGCGTTCACGGCTCAGAAGTGCTTGCCTAGCACGTGATTAAAATCTGCCACGATCAAATTTCTTTCCAGGATTAAAAATAGCTGCGCTGGGCACGAAAACGCTGTGGTTATTTCTTAAAATTTTAGCAATTTTCTGTGAGCATTTTTCAGTTTCTCTGTACAGAACTTAACTCGACAACTATATATTAAAGCTGTAGAAATTGTATGCAAAAAGAAGCTGCATATTTCTACCGCGAAAACGAAGCCAGCATTTTTTATGCTAAAATCCAGGTAAACCTCTGTTTTCGGCAAAACATTCAAGGTTGCTATTGATAACATACTTGGGCGCTGCCGCCCAAAATGAAAACTATTATATTATTAAAAAGAAATGGATAAGTAAGTCATCAAAATACTTTCAGAGTTCCTGGAACTATTTTTCATTCACCTAAATCAAAAAATTTTTCCCTCGCTGGCTTTTCAAATTTGACACTGTGCTTATGTCAAAACTGAGGGACCGTTCATTTTTTATAAGGTAGGGGGGGCTGGTGGGATTTGGGGGGGGGCCATGCGAAAAAAAATGGCTTT